CGAACCGAGAACATTCACTGAAGAAGAAGCACATGAGCTACTTATCTCATTGCTGTCCTCAGTAGTGGAAACTTCAGACGATTCGGACATCGATTCAGAACTACTTAGGAAATGCGAAAAATTCTTGAACAACTTCAAACCCGCCAGTAAAAACTAAAGCTTTATAAAATTTCAATTTTCTCTTTCGAATTTGGAAACCATTTATGCTTTGCGACCGTGCTGTTTATCCTCAAACTTCATTCAATTCTGAATTTTCCAACCAATGACATTATCCATTCGTATGGTAAGCTATTTATAAGTTTTTTTAGACCTCTTTTAGAGAATTAGATAATCCGTTGGAGGATTTTGCCTAAACAATTTTCATATTGTGAAACTTTAAATTTTCACTGTCAGTATGTAAACAAGATTTTTGGAATTTTATGCTGAGAAATCCTCTAACTGTCCAGGAACCTCACATTGAATTTCCGATTTTTCTCTACCCTTATCATAACGTGCGATTTCATTGATTTTTAAAGTTCAAGGCAAAACTTTGTATTTGCAGTTTATAAACTATCTTTGTGCTATCTAGTTAGTTATGATTTTATTCATTTTTCCTTCCTCGTTCGGAGAGGGAGAAAAAGATCACCTATTTTGTACATTACTTAGTTTAACTTTTTCACAGTTAGGGGAAGTACTGTGATTGTTCTTATTTAATTATCTTATTTGAATTAACCGATCATTTAAGAATTTATCATTTAAGACCATTTATCCACGGGGGAAAGGACTAACACAAGAGCTGTACAGCTCATCACGGTGAACCGCTGTTGTGCCCCTGTTTAAGAACTACATGCAATTTTTTTGGTTATTTTTCTGGGCTGGGTAATGTTGCTTCACCCTCAAGCAACGAGCACGGATGGGATCATGGTGGGCCTCGAACATCCGACCTTTCGATTGAGAGGCGGAGACGTAACCACTTCACCACCGCTCCCCCAAACCTTGGCAATTTTTTCATTTAAAAAAATTATAAATGACGAGGGTGGATTTGGGGGAGAGGCGAATTAGGGGTGCGGGGTAAGGCGGGGGATGTTGGGCGCTTTCCTCAAGGATTGGACGCTCCCCTCAACAACCAAAAGGACCCCCTTTGGTATTCTCTAAAGAAATCCATTTTTGGTTAACAACCCTACAATTTTCCTGAAGGCGCTATCGGCGCCAGTATATACTTGTTTTGAAGGGGAGCGCGCTCCAAAAAAAACCGCAATTATCTGGTCAAAAAGTTAGTTTTTTTCTTCAACCCCCCCCCCCCCCCCCCCCAAAAAATCACATAAGCATCAATTTTTTGATGTAACGAGGGATTTTTCAAGGTTAAACATGAAAAAACCAAATATATTTGTCATGGCCTAGTTAGCTCGCATGCCAATTTTAGTAGCATTTGGATGACGTGAACAAAGTTTCACTTTGCAGGTGGGGGGAGGGAAGGAAAACGCGCCAAAAGTTCTAAAAATTGCCCAAAAAGGGCAGCTTTGCCCTTTCATATATTCTCTTTATGTTGCTGTGGGAGCGCTGGGAAAATCAAGTTATTTGACCTAGAAAAAGATGGTCGAAAAATTTTTCAAAAATTTATTGAAAATCCTCCCCTCTTCCTATCGAAAAACCCTTAGAGTCAACCCGGTAAAAGACCCCAGTAAATACTATAGCGTACCACAGAAATACTTGCTTAAGACCAACAAAAAATTCACCAGTGAAAGCTATCATAGGCCAGTAACCGCAATCAGTAAAAAGAGAAAATAATATATTATAATGTGTTTTTATTGTCAGTCTCAAAAAGAATTGATTATAAATGATTTAAAATGGATTATAACATTATTGTTTTTCGAAACAAAAAAAAATATTAATAGTCGTTTTTTTTTCCTAAATTTTTGGAAAATCCGCCCCCCTCCCCCAAGAAAGTCCTAGATCAGCCCCTGCTTATAGCTTAAACTTACATTATATTTGATTTTTTTTGAATTTTCATTCAGAATAGCTAAATTACAATCCATTATAAATGATTTTTCTGTGAGATAATATTTTGATAGAAAAAGATATTATAATCTATTATTTTAGATTATAAGATATTTTCGGGAAAATTATAATCAATTATAATTGATTATAAATTACTAATATGTCTTCAAAAATGTTATAATTATAATGGATTATAAATCGTTCAAACATCTATAATTGGCGCTTATAATTAATTATATTTTTGCTAAAAAGTACGATTATAATTATAATATAATCGACTATTTTCTTTTTTACTAAGTGCGGGTACTCCAAAATTAGTGATTTCACAGTTACCTTGATGACAATGAACTCAATGAGTAGAGAATAAGGAGAGGGGTGCTACCTCTCAAGTATTCGACGTCTCACCACTCAATGGGTCTCATTTTGTTACTTTTTTCCCGCATTACATTAAAGCTGAAAAATGCGTATCAAACAATTTCATATACAGTTTCTATGGAAAAATTGCTTCTGATACCATTTTCATTTATGAAAATTGTGAAATTAACTTTTTTCACATGCCTACAACAAATTTTGATGTAAAAATTTAAAATTACAGAAAAATTTTTCAAATCGCAAAATCATTTTTCAGCTCAAAAAAAGGATGTTTTGAAAAATAAAAAAAAGCGAAATTGATAAGTTTTATGTCCGTAACCGAATTCACAGAAATTTCTTCACGCTAAATGACCAAAAACTACAAAAACTGTTTTGTGTATAGAAAATTTCTCATTTCTTTGTTTTTATTTGGTAGATTATAGTCAGTGAAATGCATCATTTTAACTTAGATGCAAAACTTTGGTGCATACACAAAACAGTCCCATACAAAACAGCCCAATACAAAATAGTCCAAAAAATTATTTAATGAAGAAAAAAACAGTCCAATACAAAACAGTCCGGTTTAAGGTCGCCAGTGGGCGCGCTGCGCGCACGTCGCCGCTTCGCAGCGATAACAGGCTCTAAATTTTGTACCAAGTCCTGCCCTCTGTTGGCAAGCTCGCAACACGTTGGCGCGACTGCCGCGGGCACTATTTTGTTCATTATGTTTGTTGAACAAAGGACAATTCTCGGCCTACTGGCTTGTTAAAACAATTATCACTTGGGACTTTTTTTCGGAATGTTTTGTATGGACTGTTTTTTCGTTCATTTTCATACTTTTCCGGACTGTTTTGTATTGGACTGTTTTGTATTGGACTGTTTTGTACAGACACGAAAACTTCTAATGCTGTTTTCTGCGCAAACTTTGCCGCTGAACATGTTTATTGTTTTTTATGAGAACAGCTCTTCGTTAGAGAACAGCTCAAAACATGAAAATTCAATGCAAAAATCGAAATTTCGATTAATACCATAGTAGTCATATATAAACATTTTTCTCATATGAAAATTGATTATCATTCAATTTTTATACAATTTTCACCAATGGAATTGTATGTATGGAAATGTATGGAATTGTATGATAAGCATTTTTCCATATAAGAAAGATACATGATAAGAATTTTGGTCAATCTGGGTTGGGATGTGTAGTTTCAGCCAACCGACCCTAAAACGTTACTAAAAAAGCGTTCTGGGTGTCAACCTACCTGCACCGAAATTTCTCCGTTAATAATGTCTGATAATATGTCCGTTGTCTGTCTGGCACTTTTATGTTCAACAACAAATTTAACCCTAGAACCAGGGGTAGAATTAGGGGGGGGGGGGCGGACGCCCCTCCTCAGGGATTCGACCCCATGCCGACCCAAAGGGTCCCCCCTTTGGTACTCTTGGCTCTTTTTCCTTCCCCCCCCCACCTCACTCAAACATGATTTTTATGGTCTAACGAGTTGTTTTACAAGGTTAATTATGAAGACCAAATATGTTTATCATAGCCTAATTAGTCTGCATGGCAATTTTCATGACAATCGGACAAAGTGAACTGTAACTTCAAATATAAAAATTTGCAGGTGGGGGGAAAAGGAAAAAAAGCCGTACTTTTTAGGAAATCCATTTGTGGTGACGGACCCGTAAGTTTTTCTAAAGGCGCCTTTGGCGCCAATATATACTAATTTTGAGGGGGAGCGCGCGCCAAAAAAGGCGATTTTTTTTGTGAAAATTTTCCAAAAAGTGCCAAAAACGTTTTTTTTGGCGCGTTTTTTCAAAAATTTGACTGCGGCGCAGAGAATTTGACCAAAACAGCGTCTTTTTAGTGCTTTAGGAGAGCTCCGAAAATCAATTTGGCTGACCTAAAATAAAAAAAAAGGTCGTCAAAATTTCAAAATTTTCGAAATTTTTTTGAAAATCCGCCCCCCCTCGAGAAAATCCTAGATCCGCCCCTGCCTAGAACAATCAATTATATGACGGTCTGATGTTAAAAGACGTGTCTGAATGGTTTACACATAATTGATAATAATGGCAAGATTTTCTCAATATAATCTGTTTTTATCCAAGAAATTTCGCTGCGGGTATACTAAATTTTAGAAAAATCTCTCCCTGAAATTCGAAAATTCAACAAATTTGAAATTTCAGACTTACTAAAACTTTAAAATATCATCATCCCTCTCTACCTTACTTTATTTTGTTTGGCGACCAAGTAGTAAACAGACAAAGATCTGGACAAAACTTTCTAGTTACAAGATTTGAATTATGCTCTATAGTTGTGTAGAGGATCCTATTAATAGGGAATTCCAATAATTTGAAGTGCTTTCAAAAATCCGTAAAAATATATGTTTAGGGTATACTTTTTTGTCAATCTCAAAAGAATTTCAAAATAATCGTTTATAATGGAAGAAAAATTGATTATAATGGATTTTTTTTTATTATGAAAAAAATGGATTATAATCCATTAAAAATGGATTTGCGTATTAAAACTGGCATCCATAATCGATAACATTGTCCAACATTTTGGTCACTAAAAATCCATTATAATCGATTAATATCCATGAAAATCCAGTGCGGGTGGGTATGAATTTTAAATAAAACCCAAAGGCTGAGTGCTGCAATTGTATGTGTTGAAGGTGCTTTTCTGGTGCCCTACCTGCTGTTTATGGTGGCCAGTGGTGCTCCCCTCTTCTTCCTCGAAGTGTCATTGGGCCAGTTCAGCCAGCAGAGTGCCATCCAGTGCTGGAGCATACTACCCATGTTCAAAGGTACACAGTCAGTCTCCAATACTTCAGATAAAACTCTAACTATTTGAAATGTAGGGCTTCACTTTTGATTTTTTTTTAATATTTCATAACTTTTCAAACATTGTCTCCAAAAGCTATCTCTCTAATATTTCCCGACCGAACTTGAGTCCCATAGGTTTGTTTCTGTGTTTGGTCGATTATTTCACGTTTTATTTTGCAATCAAATCTCAATCGTCTTCATTTTGTTTAATTTCAAATCTTAAAAAAAGTTTGATTGTACTGGTTTGTGTTCCAGGAATAGGGATTGCGTCTACCCTGATAGTGTTCTACTGCAACACGTACTACATAGTGATTCTGGCCTGGGCCTGCTTCTACTTCTTCACTTCCTTCATGGTCCCCCTGGGATTCTCCACCTGCGACAACCACTGGAACACTCCCAACTGCTACCAGGTATCATCACATCACCACACTATAGCCACAATTACCCCAGGTCCTGGTGCTCATTTGAATTTTCTATACTTTTAACTTGGAATTTTATCAAAGTTCTCGGCCAAAAATCGACAACCACCCAGGTCCAGGTGCTCGTTTTGTGGTCTCATTTTTGAGTGGAGCTTTTTTCATAGCGCCTTCAGTCTATTTTTTTCCAAATTCGTTGTCTTGTTTGCTTTGGTTTTGCGTTTATCGATGAATGCTTGGTGAATTTTTTGACGAATATAATAAATCAGTTCCAACTCTTTATAAAAAAATCAGTTGACCACGAGCGAGTTTTGTTCCGACTTTGTGCGCAACTCAAACCATACAAAGAAAAAAAGAAAATTTCAGATCTGAAATAGCCCATCCTTAAAGTATCCATGCGTTATTTAAACATTTCACAACCCAGTCCAGATCTGAAATTTAGAGCTGAAATAAAGAATTTTAGATCTGTTTTAGAAAATTAACTGGGTACGGGGCACTACTGATTTTCGACCCGTACCAAAATTAATTAAGTACAGTTAACAAAAGGAACAAGATTGCTCGTATCAGGGTGACGCTTTGAATCTTCTGACTGCCCATTGACACCTATGAGGTAGTGATCGGTTTGAAAAACGATCAAATTTTTTAAAAAAATGGAAAATTTATTCAAACATATTTTTTTTTGTTTTTTTTTGTAAAACATTTGTCCCGAACGCTGTGTTTGAAAAAATCCAGGGTCAGGGTGAAGCCATAAATTTTTTGAAAGCTTTTTAAGGTCTATAGACTAGTGTTTTCTTCCAAAAAGAATGATAGAGTTTCAAAAAAAATCAAAATTAATTCTTTTTTGGAGATTTTTTAAAAACCATTCTAAAACCATTTTAAAAAACCCCGCTATTTAAAGAACAAGGTGATATATTTTGCATAGAACAAAATAATAAACAGACCAAAAAGCGTAAACATGACAACTCGCAATAAAAAACATTAAGAGACAACTCACCTCCGCAATATACTCACCTCCGCAGTCGTGCCAAAGTGTTGCGAGCTTGCGAACAGAGGGCAGGGCCTTATACGAAAGTTAAAGCCAGTTATCACTGCGAAGTGGCTTTGCACCAGTAGCACCCCCACAGACGACAGTAAGCAAAAAACTTTAAGTTTTCAACCTTTGCGAGTTATTGCTTTCTCTAAATTTTGCAACATACCGTCCTTTAAATAACAGTTGTATAATTTGTACATTTTGCTAATGTATCGTTCTAATTCAAATTATTGTTTACTAATAAACTTATAACAGGACTGCTCTATCAGACACAGGACTGCAACGTATCAGAACTGCAACGTATCAGGACTGCAACGTATCAGGACTGCAACGTACCAGGATTGATCGTATCAGGACATGAATGTACCGGTACCTTTTGAAGGTCTATGCAGTAGTGTTTACTATTTAAGAAAAAGAAAAAATTTTAATTTATCTTTTATATATTTTTTGATTGAAACTTAACCAACTCTATGGTATGTAAAAGACAAGTGGTTTATTTCACATACAGAAAAGTACTTACTTTTGAAACGATTTCTAAGACGGATTAAAACTCCGCGTACGCGTTAAAAGCACAAAATAAACCGCCCGTTAATTCTCCCGAATTGGCTAAACTGGCAATTTTGAAACCCCCGTAACTGCAAAATTTGGAAAAATTTCTACGCTGGATTAACTACCCAGTGAAGCGTTATGAGCACCAAAGTTATCGCACGTTAATTGTCCCAAATTAGCCAAATTGGCAAGTTTAAACCCCATAAATTACAATAAAAAATAAAAGTTAAAAAAATTTTGATTTAAACATTTTTCAGTTATGAGCTCAACACAACAAAAGTGGTTCACAGATGGTACTAGGAACTCCGCCGAAAATGGCTAAGCAAAAAGTCGAAATTGGTCTGGAGAAAAAAGACCCCAAGCACAAGCTTTCCGTCACTTTTCTCGAAAGTAATTGGAGCAATAACTCAAATTTGATCAAAACTGAGAACAAACTGAAACATAAATTAGCGAATAGTTTGATTTCAAAACATAATAAATGATAACCATGACTGCATGCATGAGTGAGTGTTCTAACTGCACTTTAACTAGTCTCGAATAGTTTTTGTTAAATGAAAGATTGACAAACTGTAAATTTTAGGCTGATGATACACACTGTCAAAACTTGAGTCGTACTTGGCGTTAACACGACAAATTAGTTTGCATCAACAAAATTCTGAACAAATTTGTGAAGTGGGACAATTTGCCACTAATAAATCATGAAACACTCGAAACACTGAACAAGCACGTTGTATTGAATCGTTTCTGAAAGCCCGAAGAGTCAGATTTAAAAAATTTAAAACGCACCCCCGCTGAGGTCACGAAGATTCAACAATCGATCCCCACAGTCAGGTAATTTTCTTTCAGAAATTAGTCTGAATAGAAAACTACCGCAAGATAATATTTTCCTCACTCTCTTTTTAAGTCGCAACAATAATCAATGACTTGATCTCTAATTGGAATCAGTTAAAATTGCTAAAATAACAGAATAGTTTGAGGGTTCTAACTATATTTTAATACTTATGCAATTGATTTTGCACAAAAAAAAGATAATGTTTGAAAAAAAAAATTTTGTGTTTTCTTTTTCTTTGCATTTTGTGCGACAAAGCGTTATGTAGAGTCAAAAGGCTACGGTCTAAGTTTTTTGTTTCTGTTTTCAGAAACTTACCCTCTATTTACAAAAAAAATGTTATTTAGTTTTGCGCTTTGTAAGGTCTCAATTAGACTAAATAGCTTGCCTCACTTCATTAAGAATGATTTCTGAGCCCTAATAAAGTACCATTCACGCTTCAATTGAATGATTTATTTCGCACTAATTAACCCGATTTGCACGATTGGAAACTTTCAAAGCAGCATAACAAAGAAGAAAGTATCTATTTTTGAACTCAATGCACGAATCTTTTTCGCACGACATTCTTTTTTATTTTTTATTATTACAATGATCAAAAAAGTTTCAGTTTCTTCAATTGTTTCTAACAACTGAAACAACTCCCGAAAGTTTTCGATTTTAAAATTTAACACGACATAGTGAGCTGACTTAAGAGAACAGTCCCTGTTTTGGATTAACAATTTCCTCACTGGAGTTCCATGGATAAATATGTTTAAAATTGAGTTATATTCTGAGTCTCTATGAGAATGAAAAATAAATGATTATAATCAATTAACAAGACTGCTCGTATTAGGGCGAAGCCTTTTAAGGTTTATGGAGCAGTAATAACATATAAAAATTAAATGAAATAAAATAAAATGAAATTTTTTTTCTCTAAAATTAAGGTGCCTTTTAAGGTTTATGGAGCAGTAATAACATATAAAAATTAAATGAAATAAAATGAAATGAAATCATCCTCCCACACGCCATATAAAGTACAAAAGGATAGATTTCGTTCCTTGTAACAAATCAATTATGGCTAATAAGCTTCGTTCAACCAATTCGGAACGATTTCTAAGACGGATTAAATCCCCGCTTACGCGTTAATAGCAGCGCGAAGTATATCGCGCGTTAATTGTCCCAAATTGTTCAAATAAACCCCCATAACTTTACGAAAAATGATCACAGGTGAAATATCTTTTCAAATTTAAGCTCAAAACAACAATAGTTTTCGAATGATTTTAAAAAATTCCGTCAAAATGGCTAGTTCAAAAGTCGAAATTTGTCTGAAGAAAAAAAACCCACCCCGAGCACAAATATTCCGTTACTTTCGTATCGAAAGTCGGAACAAATATGGATTATAATGTTATTATTTAATAAAGCATTGAATTCCATGTTAAACCAATTGTAATGGGTCATTTTTGAGCAGTTTTCTTTACACCCTACACCCCTCCCCCCACCATGGGGAGGGGTGTTGGTTCTAACAGGGGTTTGATTCAGGTGGGGGCTGGTTCAGGTGGTGGAGGGGGGTTTGGTTCAGTTAGGGGTTTGGCTCAAGTGTGGGTGGGCATAGGGGCAAAGGGGCAAATGTTAGTTGTGCAGAGCTAAAAAAAATCGTTTCGCAGTTCGAGAAAGCTTATGTTTAGAAATCGATTAGATCGTACACTCGCTTTGCAAAATTTCTGCTATATTCATTTGATAAATGCATAAACTCTTGCTAAACTTTGCGCGACACGAAACAAAAATAAAGTGGAAATCTCAACCGTTTCATTTGATTTTAAATGAATTGATTTTTATTTAAAATTTGAAATATATCAATGCAATATAATCGATTTCTTTTTGTTCCGACTTTCGTAACGAAAGTAACGGAATAGTTAGGCTTAGGGTGGTTTTTTTTTCTGCAGACAAAATTCGACTTTTTAACTAACATTTTTGACGGACTTTTTTATATCATTCGAAAATTATATCTGTTTCGAGTCGAACCTTGAAAAAGTATTTACCTGTGATTATTTTTCCTTAAGTTATGGGGTTTAGAAATTACCATTTTGGCCAATTTGGGACATTTAACTTGCGATATGTTTAAATAAAAATTGTTTCAAATTGATTCAAGGAAGTTTATATGCCAGAATTTATTTGTGAAAACGAGAAGAATCTCTCACTTTGCACTTAATATAGCGTGTGGGGAATGTTTTTACAAAAAAACTCAAATTAGTTTTTTTAAATTTGTTTCATTTTATTACATTTAAACTGTTGTTACTGCTCCATAGACCTTAAAAGGCAGTTGGAACATTCAGGGCTTCACCCTGATACGAGCAGCCTTGTTGTTCCGACTTTCGATACGAAAGTAACGAAATATTTGTGCTCGGGGTGGGTTTTTTTTCTTCAGACAAATTTCGACTTTTTAACTAGCCATTTTTGACGGAATTTTTTTATATCATTCGAAAGCTATTGTTGTCCTGAGCTTATATTTGAAAAGATTTTTTTTTCCTGTGATCATTTTTCGTCAAGTTATGATGGTTTAAAGATTGCCATTTTGACCAGTTTGAGACAATTAACGCGCGATATAATTCGCGCTATTAACGCGTAAGCGATAAAATTTGAAATATATCAATGCAATATAATCGATTTCTTTTTGTTCCGACTTTCGTAACGAAAGTAACGGAATAGTTAGGCTTAGGGTGGTTTTTTTTTCTGCAGACAAAATTCGACTTTTTAACTAACATTTTTGACGGACTTTTTTATATCATTCGAAAATTATATCTGTTTCGAGTCGAACCTTGAAAAAGTATTTACCTGTGATTATTTTTCCTTAAGTTATGGGGTTTAGAAATTGCCATTTTGGCCAATTTGGGACATTTAACTTGCGATATGTTTAAATAAAAATTGTTTCAAATTGATTCAAGGAAGTTTATATGCCAGAATTTATTTGTGAAAACGAGAAGAATCTCTCACTTTGCACTTAATATAGCGTGTGGGGAATGTTTTTACAAAAAAACTCAAATTAGTTTTTTTAAATTTGTTTCATTTTATTACATTTAAACTGTTGTTACTGCTCCATAGACCTTAAAAGGCAGTTGGAACATTCAGGGCTTCACCCTGATACGAGCAGCCTTGTTGTTCCGACTTTCGATACGAAAGTAACGAAATATTTGTGCTCGGGGTGGGTTTTTTTTTCTTCAGACAAATTTCGACTTTTTAACTAGCCATTTTTGACGGAATTTTTTTATATCATTCGAAAGCTATTGTTGTCCTGAGCTTATATTTGAAAAGATTTTTTTTTCCTGTGATCATTTTTCGTCAAGTTATGATGGTTTAAAGATTGCCATTTTGACCAGTTTGAGACAATTAACGCGCGATATAATTCGCG